CCCAGAAGATACTGTAATTCGGGTCTTAGGGGCGTTTCTTGTGGTGTATATCCACATCTCCCTGGGCAGAGAATGGGCTGAGCCAGGACACCTTATAAAACACACAAAACTTCAAACACACAAGTCACAGAGCAAAATATGTTCCCCATCTGCTTCCTGAATATGTGACAAAAACTGAAATGTGCAACATGGGACTTGAGAAGGGCCTTTGCAGTCGTATGTTTTTGTGAGTAGTAAGACAAGTCTCAACATTTTGTTTGAAATATGAGCTAGGAAGTAAAAAGCTCTGTTTTTCAAGGTAGATACAGTGATGCAAGCATTCAAGAAGCCTCACAGGGGAAGCTCAGGCACACAAGGAATTCAGATATCTGCAAAGGTGCATGTGCAGAATTTAAATTTCAGTTATTTAAATGCAAATCTGTAAAGTATCAGCTCAGCATCTAAGTGCTCCTGTGACTGGGGGCTCAGGCAGCTAGATGAAGGCAACAAGGGAGCTCTGGGGCACAAGGACAACTGAAAGGTGCCCTAAAGTTCCTTCCAGCTTCCAGCTTGTGGCACTGTGTGGTCATATAAGGTCCATCCTGGCTGTGGCTTCTCTGAGGCTTGGTGGGATTCTGACATCCAGATTGTTGCTGCAGGAAGCTGCAAGCTCAGCTGAGGGGCTAGCAATAGTCATTATGGACTGTGGGGTTCAAATGCCAGTAGTCTAGTTTAAAAAGATCTTTTCCTAGGAGCTTATGCACAGCTATTTTTTCCCTCTCTTTGTTCTCCTTGTTAAGAGGGTATTTCTTTTCCTCTTGCAGAAGACACTTTCTCTTTTTGGTAGATGGCAGTGGTGCTGTGTGAGCTCCTGCAGTGTCAGAGCAGTCCTTTATATTTTGGGCAGAGGAATGGACCTGCTCTCAGTGTCTGCCCCCAGCTGTACCATCAGTTCCTTCAGGGTGTGAGTCACTTTGTCTGCATGTCTCCATTTCTCCATCCCTGGGTGGGGGGGCAGGACAGCAGTGTCTGTGTCAGGCACGTTGTTCCATGCTGCTGGCAGATCCTGCAGTGCCCATGGCACAGGGCAGGGGTCTGGCTGCGGAGCAGAGATTCTTGCTCAGAGGAACTTTCCATATGCACTCTGTTTTCCTATTGAAAGAGGGTATATCTTATTAAAAAAAAAATAAAAATCTGTCAGTTTGACAGGAGATTTGCAAGAGACACTTACAGTGACTAGGGTGTCAGGGCAGACTGCAATCCTGTCTTGGGTTTGGGAGAAGCTCATCAGAGCCAGAGCTGGTATCATGAGCTGGTATTCTCCAGTGAAACAGAGATTATTTTCCTTGGGAGACCCACAGGCTCTGGATCACCCATTGCCTTTCTTCCCCTTCCAGTCACTTTTTAGATTATTTCACACCATGAGCTACTAAAAAGAACACAAGGGACACCCCACTTGATACACTAGTCACTCCAGAGCATCTCCTGCGAAATTCAGGATTTCTATGTATCCAGCTGGCTGAACTTGTTCTTCCACATTGACAGCATCTGTGATGGGAAGAGACAGCTTTGGAGTACCACTACAAGCCCTGCTCTCACCCTTCCTGTGCTGCAAAATGCCAGCTGACACCTTCCCTGCTGGGTCTTCCTGCACTTCTTTCCACCCTGCCCTATTTCCAGGTTCTTCAAAAGGACTGTGTGGGAATAGCAGTGACAGACAGTCACTGACAGCATCAGGATGGAGGACTCAAATGGAAAAGTTGCTAATTCGTATCTAGTCATTTGAGTTACATAAATGTCCATTTTCACCTCAAAAAGCCTGCCAGAGGCAGCAGTCACACCTTTCCTGGGCCTGAGAGGTCTCACAGGTACTGGGAGCACCAGAGGACTTGCAGCTCCAACACCTAAATTTGTGAGACTTGGTAAAACATAAATATTCACCTTGACACAACTGTGACACTTAAGTCTAGCACTACAGTGATTTAAGACCTGAACATTGAGCAGCCAGCCTCCTGGCTGCAGCAGCATGGCACCTTCTTCTTCTGGGTGTATCTTCAGGATGAATTCTTCCCTCTAAAGCTCCCCTGCTATATACTTCCAAGGCAATGTAGCCATGGTTAATATTTATAAATAGCAAGGATTTCTACCCTACTTCAGCATTCATTATACTTGCAGTGATTCAAACCTCCAGCATAGACAGGAACTGCCTTGAGCTGAAATTGAGCAACTATCTAATAAAATATAGTCATGAGATGAATAGGAGTTATACAGTTGAAGTGCCTTGAGGATGCTTGAAAGATTTATTTCCTGGCTTCCTCTGGAGGGCTCTTTAGTAGGGAGGATTGGACTCTGTGTGTGTATATATATCCATATAAGAATGAAAAATATTTTAAAGTCTTAAGTGGGGGTGGGGGGGAAGGGGAAGGGGCATTTGCACTTCTTGAGGAGGTTCTACAGAGAAAGCATTCTTTATTTTCTGGGCACTTACTGTATTTACAGCTGCTGAATTTCCTGTAAGAAAACAGATGTGAGTGCATCATTCACAGTCTTACAGGCAAATTTGCCACACAGTTGTGGTACATGCAGGGAGACACTCAAAGCTGTAGTGCCTGAAGACTGTGCTGCTATGTGGGATGTGGGTAAAGATTGTTTGAGCTCAGATGAGGAAGAGGCTGCTGGAGAGGATTCTGTGGCCAGACTCAGATTAAGGAGAAATAAATAACAATTAACAAAATATATTATGTAACTTCAGAGCAATATCTCCATGGCCTGAAATAGAGAGCTCAGTAATCATTTCATACTCTCATATCCCTTTGATCTGTATGCCTGTCTTACCACTCACCTCTTCTGTCTCAGATGCAACTCCTCCATTGCTCCTAGGATCCTTGCTCCAGAGGCTGGGAGTAGGGGGGAAATCAGGCAAGGAAATTCCTAGGATTCTTCTCCTCAACCTTTCTAGGCTGCATATATAAAGCAGTGACAATTAAAAAACAGAGGAAGTGTCCCATTGCTGCCAGCCAGAAGAGAGAGCCATTCCAAAGGGCTCTCTCTAGAACATGGCTCTGATTCTGGCTCAGGGGGGAATACAGCCTGTCTGACCACCTTAATCCTCTCTTATCAGCTGTTATTACCTTAAATGTAAGAAATTACATGATACAGGACCTCAGAAGTTTCCATCCATGCTCTCCAAATACCACTGTAAAGATGTTCCTTTGTCACCCCACAGGATTTTAAGTTCTCTCAGAATTTTCTTCCTTTTCTCAAGCCTGCAATGTGCCTCCCAAGTAATGCTTCTCCCTTGTTTACCTGACTTTGAAACACCTTGTTCCCAGACCCTGCTGACATTAAGATCATTGTTCTTGATGCACATCACCTCAGAACTGGGCAAGCCGATGACTGAATTGACCTCCTTTAAGAACAACTCATCCTATCCTAAGTGACCTGAACAAAGTACAAATAATCCTCTCTCTTTCTCTCTCCCCCTCTCTAGGGAAGATAGAACTCAAGTTTCCTCCAGCTCTGTAATTTCTGGACAGACACAGGAGTGAGCCCACGCCTAAATTTAACCCTGCATTCAGACCCAGCCCTCATATGCTATGGTAACAGGAGTGTATCTAGAGAGAGCTGGTGAGCCACCCTCCACTTGAATTGCACCTTTTGTCATCTCCTTGGCATGTAAAATACTGTCTTGCATTCATGTGCTGCTCATGTGGGAGTAACCTGGGGCAGTCTGAGCATAGGAAAATCTGTACATGTAGGAAAAGAAGTGGAATTGCCTTGAGCAAGACAACCTCATTTGACCCTCCTCCTTCGTTTACAGTTGGTGTTTCAGCTGGGACAGAGAGGAATGAGGGGACTGAGGCTAAGGCCAGATGTTTGCATCAGGCACACAGGAGTTGAACAGGTTTTCTCCATGCCTTCCTGCCAGTGCACATTAATCCTGAGCCACAGTGCCCTCTGTCATTCCAGCTCTTGATCCTTTTCCTTGATTATTCTATTTATACCTTCTGAGCTGCAGTCTCCTTTCTTGTGTGCCAGTTTTACACCAGTATAAATTCATGGATGTCTGTGGATTTGTTACTGGTTTACTCTCAACCATAAAAAAAGAGAATTAGATTAATCACTTATAGGTACCAAATGGCGTATCCCCTATCCCTTGGGTTTGTAAATACTCCTTGTTTTCCTATTTTTCATCAGTTTGTTCCAACACACATCAGCCTGCTGTTATTTTGGTGCTGTATTCCCAAAATACACCCCATGATGCTGCTGCTGCTGAAGCTGTGTCAGGGACAGTAGATACCTGCAGCCTCCTCCATGCTGAGTCAGTCTGGGATAGACTCTCCCAGGGCTGTGTTCCTCGGCCCCAGCATCAGCCCGGAGATATCTATCAGTAGCCTTTTATTTTTCTCAGCTTCAGCCTTTCTTTTTCTCAGCTGAATGTGGAGACATTCAGCCTGGCTAATGTAGACTGTCCTTAGGGTTGTTTAATGTTCCTCAAAGTTCCATTGAGGAGTGCCAGTTATAGATTTGGACCTTTCTGTTATCCATACTGGCCAAATGGAGGAAAAGGCCAGGACTTGTCTTGCCTAGAACTGAAATCTAAAGGCAGCATGGTGTGTTCTTAATAAAGGAGTGATTATATGAATCACAGTAGCAAAATGTTCTTGCAGAGCTCATGTCCCCACTCCCTGACTGCAGTGTCTGAGGGCATCTGTCCATCATTCCAGGGGAGGGATTTGCCTCGGACAGGGGTTAGTTAGTGTGTAGCCCCCTGTGTTACAGAGGCGTAGCTACAATTCCACAGTCTCTTTTAATGAAGTTACTTGTGGCTGTTTATTGGACGAAAATAAATTCCAACTGGCCCATATAACAAATGAAACTCAACTACAAAAATGTAATGATATTTATTCACCCAGCTGCCAGCAAACTCACATGCACTATGAGTCATTCCAGATGTGGATAAAAACAAAGTCTGTCTGTGAAAGTAAGTTTCCTGATCCCGAGGAGACTTGGTTTGGGAGAGGAGCTGTGCGCTGACTTCAGCTCTACTCAGAAGAACAGGCAGGTTCTTCTGCAAAGGGGGAGGGGGAGAGGAAAAGCCATTATTTATTCCTGAAAAGAAAGGAGCTGGGAAAATAAAAAAAGCTACTGTACAGCTAGACATACGCATTTTAAAGAGAAGGATGTTTTGGAAGACTCTGGTGCTGCTGCTGTTCTATTACAGTGCTGATGCCACTGTGACCCACAGATGGAGCAGAGGTAAGATTTCAACCTGCAAAACTATTTAAGAGAAAAATTTCAGTTGTAGATTTGGTCTCAAATTATGTTGCATTATACATGTGTGTATGTATATATATATATATATATATATATATACGTATATACACAATTATATTTTTCCCCTCCAACTCTGGAATTTTTTTCTCCGTTAAACAGGTCAGCTAAAAGTATATAGATAAATAAAAAATACACATGAATAAGTGCAAAAAGGTAAAATTATATATGTATTCTATTATAACAAAAATATATAAAATAGCCCAAGAACCAGAATTACATTCTTGCACTTTTCCCCTTCTTCTTTCTAATTTTTCTCCTGCATTAACAGAAAAAAAATAGCTTATGAAACCTTAAAGTGAAAGCCTGTGCAGTCACAGGTGACATAATCTGCTCTAGCAGGAAGATACCTGGCAATAGTAAAGCAAAGAATGCCTAGATGGTGCAAGGTGCCTGGGAATGCTGCTGCCCTACCCTGGCAGAGGAGCACAGGTAGCACAGAGGAAGTGACCTGGTGTGTTATCAGGCTTCAGCTGCCAATGTGACAATACACAGTCGTGCCATATTTGTAATATTTAAAGTGTGACAGCAGCATATGGAATGTTTGAGGACTATTGGATGGCATAGGAGATGCTTGCTTCAAAGCTAGTGATGATGTCCTTTCCCTTTTTTGGTTTTATTCTCTCCTCTGGTATTTGGCACTGGTTCAGGAGCTGCTGGAAGTGGAGAAAGGAAACACCTCCTGAAAGATTTCTTTGGTTCTGATATTGAGATTCACAGACATTTAAAGGAACCAGAGTCTGCTAAAAAAAATAGAGCATTTAAATGCCTCCCTCCCTACTCCAGTCTCCTCATTGTAGCTGGTACCATTCCAGTCTGACATTTGGGTTTGGTTTTGATTTCAATTTTGTAGGAGAGGGAATGGTTGAGGGAACTAATGAAGAGCTACAGAGTCCAGCTCAGGCTGCTTAATTTTTCCTTACAATGCTTAATTATTCCTTTCAAAAATCCCTGTTAGTGTGAGCTTACTGGCAGGGCTTTGACCTGGGACTCACCATGCAGGTTCTTTCCACAAACTTTTCTTTTTTCATCAGACTCTTGGCTGATATTGCATGAGTCATTGTACCTGCGTGTACCTTGCTTTTCTCTCTGGTATAAGACTGGAAATAGCACCAATATTTGTCATAAGATCCTGTAATTCTGTAGGTAAGAATTTGTTGTTCCAGGGGTGACACAAAAATGTGAGAAAATCAGAACTATATCTTTATATATTAATTTTAAAAAACCCACAGCCCCACCCTTTGGAAGAATGATGTCACATTGCCTAAGAAATCGGAAAAAAAAATAAGAAAAAGGAGTTCAATTTCATGTAATAATCACTATTCACTTTAAGGATGTCCTTCACTTTTGCTAACACACTTATTTTAATTAAACAACATCACAACCCTAAAAGGAATTCATGCAACTATTAAAGTTCAATTTTAATCACCATGAATATTTAAAGAAAAACATCAGAACTCTGTTGTGCCTTTTGGGAAAGCAGATTTTTTTTCAAGCTGGAAGCTTTGGAGACTTCAGAGGGAAGAGAAGATTCATTCCCTGTTGTGATAAGGAGTTCAGTTGTCACAAATAGTGTGTGTAGGCATTTTCTGAGGAGGAAAACAGATTTCTTTTCCACATCTACTGGGACTATTCTGCTCTAAAGATGTTTTAGAGGCACGACTCCTTCAGCAATAACTGCTTCAGTGAACCTCCACTCCCTTGTACTGTGTGTCAACCCAACCAAATCTGCAGTACCTTGAGAGGGTCCAAGCACTGTCTTAATTTTTGAATTGCTTAGAAACCTGGAATGAAATTTGAGTACTGAGCAATGACATATTCTGCTGCACACTCAGAGCTCTTCCCTCCCTCCCTCCATAAATGACAACTGAGCCTTGTTTAGGTTAAACTTCAGTCATTTAAGTCTTATCTGAGTCCTGATTTGAGTTTTGCAGTGAAAAGGCAAATACAGATCAGCATCTGGTCTGAGGGAAATGAAAGACAGATCTGTGTATCATCTCCATGTTGACTTGTCATCCAGATTGTTTACAAAACAGTAGGGCAAAGGTCTTGCTTTAATTGCCAGCAATTGTTGTTTGCAGTAGAAATGAGCAGTCAATATTGTATACAACAATGTCTGGCTTTGACCATTTTTCCATGGGAAGCACTGGGGCAGCCTAGGATCCCCAGCCCTTGTAACCAGTCATTCAAGCTTTGGCTTAAGGAGAACTCGGACATGTGAAAAGATGAACACACTTGTGCTGACTGGGAACTCCCAACTCCCTTTTCCCTTTGCTTGGAAGCATCAATGAGTGGGGGGAAAAAAAAAATAAAAAAATTTAAAAAAAAGCATTTCTGGCAGGAAAACAGAGGGCTTTATTCATTCCTTTTTCTTTTTAAACTGTCTCAGCCTTTTGCATTAAAAATCTCACACACACTTCTCAGCCTGCCTTGACTGAGCTGTGGACATGGGTCCAGAAGTCACAGGCAAAACTTACTCCCTAGGATGGGTGTGTTTAAAATAACAAAGAAAAGATCCTGAATGATGATGAAATAATTTTCTTGTCATCACCTCAAGTTTCCTTGAGCCTTTTTTAGGCTTAGCTTCATGGAAGTATCCTCTCAGATTTTGTGAACCTCCTGTCTAGGGAAAAAACGTAAAGAAAAAAGGAAATTAGAAGTCTCTACTGACTAAGTATTATTCCCAATGCAATGGCAGAGGTGAAGTTATATAAATTCTTCAAGTTCCAAATAAGAATTCCAGATTTTAAGAGACATTTCTTCTGAAGAAACCAAGGAACAAACAACAAGAATAAGCAAAAAAACCCCTTCCATGCAGCTATGGCAACCAGTGTCACTGCTTGCTGGTTGCTTCCATCAAACTTTGAGAAGTACCAATCCACTGGAGAGCAGAAGCCAGCATTATGAGCATTACAAGAGTTGTCTGTTCCCTGAGGAGAAACCCTAAGGCAATCCTTACTAGCACATCTCAGCTGGTAAGAGTTTATTTGCTGTAAATGCTGCCTGATTCTAATAAATGGGACACACAAACAGTAGCATCCTTGCAGGGTAAGATTTCTTATGGTTGTGGGTTTTGGACAGTGCAGAAGAAGCTGCAAGGGTGAATTCACCCCTCCGTGGAGGCTGGAAAAGGAAATGTTGAAAGACACAAAATAAGGTGGAATGCTTTTCACCCATCAGTGTCAAAATGATATATCAACACCACAGAGGTCTCATGCTTTTGGGGAGTTTTTGTGCTGCTCCTTCCAGACCTCGAAAGCATCACTACAGTCCCATCAGATCTATCTGGTCCATGTGCATTATTTTCTACCCAGTCTCTGGTGGCTGGTGAAAGTGAAATGACTGTTTGAGAGCACCAGGGGAACAGTCTGCTCTCCTTAAAGGTTTTCTGCAGAAGGAATTGCTTGAAAGAACAGAAGGTCCATCCTCTTTAATTTCCCCATGACATTGCAGACTCTCAGTATTTGCTCTGGTGTGGTGGGAGCTCAGTTTGTGGGTTTGGTGGAGCAGCTGCTGCCTGAACAACTTTAGACTGCTACTTCTGCTTGTGGACTGAGCAGGCTGGTAGCTCTCCAGTGCCAGGAGAGGGAAGACTGTGTAGAAGAGAAAGAGAGACTGGCTGTTGCTAGAAAGCCAGTCAGTACTTTTGTAAGGAAGCACTGTTTAATATGTTCTAATCTCAGTGGTCATTTGGTTACTGGTGATCTCTGCTGTGTGTGCAAAGATCGAGTGTCCCAGAACTTAGAGAATGCCCTTTATCCCCATTCCTCTTCATCGTATTTCCCTCTCTTCCCTGCTGCATCTCATATTGCATCCCTACAGCCAGGCACTCCCTGCTTGAGCAGCTTCTGGATTCCACCACCAGCAGTAACTCTTGGGTGAATCTTTTGGCTTGGAGAGCATGAGCAAAGGGAATGTGGCCTGAACACAGCCTGTAATTGCAATAAAAATGGTCAAACACGTACACATTTAGGTACCAAGGGGTCCTTCAGTAAACCAGGTTATGGTCTGTGTTATTTGATATGTGACAAGGTTTCCAGAGATCTGGTCCAAGCATAAAAAGAGGTTATATCAGCTGGTCCAGCTACCAGAAATTTTTAAATTGGAACATCTATCCAACTTCTTTTAATTTCTATAAATTTCTATTAATTTATATAAAGACTTTGATATCCAATTCTTAAAATGTGCAGTGCAAATAAAGAGATGAAGTGCTAAGGAACAGCACCAACTTTGTCTAAGCCTGGATGTGAAAAGAACATTACTTCTTATAAGGAAAATGCAATATTTCCCTTTCCTCTGGCTCTCATGTGATCACTTGGAAGACTGCCTCAATTGCCCCAACTTCCCTGCTTGTTGGGCCCATTCCAACAACCTCACTGGAGCTACAAAAGGCGATTGATCTCCTGCAGAGGTTTTTCCCACCTACCCAGAGTTTGTTCCGTGAGTCTGACCAGTTCCTGGGAATGCATGTTTGTGGGCTGGAATCCCCTGATGCAAATTATTTCTGCATCAAATATTGCAACTCTGTCTGTGAGGAGATGAAGGCATCTCCTAAAAAAGGTCTGGAGAGGGATTAGTTATTAGTAAAGCTGCTTGGTGTTGCAAAGGTAGCTGGAATATCACAGTCTCTGAATGGATTTTAACCATGGTAGTATAAATATCCAGTAAGGCAGGGCTATGACTATAATCAAAATCTATTCTAGAGTGTTCTGATTCCCCAAATGCTCCTTTAGGGCCAGACTTAATTAATTTAACCTGCATGGAGGATGATCCCTGAATCAGAATTCACAGTGGGTACCTGAACCTGAAAGACATGCAAAGGATGCTTAAAAAAAAATAAATCAAAATTTCCAATCTCTTCTAAGGCAAAGATGCTAAACTCTGATGAGATCAGACGGATGATAGATTATGGAAGTTGTCACATT